TTGATCAACTTCGGGGACCTAGAAGTGCTCTAAGTTAGATAGAGCACGGTTTGAGGCTGAATACTCGGATTTAGAACTGCCCGCCCAACCTCGGGGATTTCATGTCACCCTCGGCCTCCGGCCTCGGGAGACATGAAATCCCCTTGGTGGGCGGGGCAGTTCTAAATCCTCATAGTCAGCCTCAAACCGTGCTCTATCTATTACGTAGGATCTGCTTGGAGACTATAAAACACCCCCATGATGTCTACTAGTATGGAGATTTCAGGGCAGAGATAAGAGGAAAACTACTGAGTGTTCAGGAGTGAGGATTGGGTTATCTTTGCGACTCAACCGTGACGGGGAGAGGTCAGTGATAAACACACGACATGAAGTCCTGGAGGTCCTGTAGGGACAACCGTAAACACAGTCCTAACATTTATCTCGGAGAAAACTGTTTCTTGAATTCACAGTCTCATCTGCATGTTGAAGGGGATATGTACTGTACATAAATGGGGCCTGACCTATATATATATATATTTAACGGACTGCCAGAAATATCTGTGTGTGGGGTGGGGAGCTCTGTCTCTGGTATATCATGCCAGAGCTGACCTATGGCCTTGGAGATAGTCCGGGATACAAGGTTACGGCCTAGTCAGCTTTTTAAGTACCGGGTGTCTCATCCAGAGATGTGCGAAATGCGATCCACACTTCGAATTTAGTGAAAGTTGTTTTGTCAACACTTTCTTCTATCTGCTAAGACAAATCTACCAGGGCCCCTCTAGAAAATTACATGTTTGATACACAGAGAAAAGATGGAAACCAGATGACCCATTTTGTCACCGCCTCTCAACAAGAGACACAAGAGGAAGGCACCGCGGAGCTCCCAATGCCGCTATCTCACATGTAATCTAATACTAATCTCCAAGCAGATATCTGGGTGGCTGGAATACAGTTTCAAACTTTCCAAGCAGTATCCAGTTTATCAGCTCTTCCCCACAGAAAGACAAATTCAACTAGTGAGGTGACCTGAATCGCACATGTTAGAAAGTAAAAATATTATTTTGGTTGCACACAACAATTTGTTTCTCTTTTTAAATAAGAGAACGTGCAATTAGCTTTAGCGAGGTCAAACCCTGAGTCTGAAGTCTAGGAGGGAGCCGTTTTTTTCAATCCGTCTAG